GTTTTTATGTTTAATAATATGAAAATTCTTTCGGAATGTGTTAAAGTTTTGAATGTCCCATACATTTAACCTATTTAGCAGTTTTAATAATTAATTGCATGTTTTTATAATTTTGTTCTGTTGAACAGAAACTGAATTTATAACTCAAGGGATGTGACACAAACAACTGCTATTTACTTGCATAGTTCATCAATCAAGGTGTTGCTTATCAATCATTAAGGGTCAGGGATGTTACACTGTGATGGTTTTAATGGGTTTAGTTGTTTATTTGCATGTGTTGCAGTGTCTAGTTAGAGTACTGTCATCTGTTACAGCTTGTTTCCCTTCTTTATTTTCATGTGACTTTCCACATTGTCAGTCGATTACTCTTAGTTACAGTAATTCTCCAGCTCTATAAGCCTATTCAGGTTCTTGAAAAACAGGTTGCAGATTAGCACACAAAGTACCGAGCGAAAAATGATCCGCTCTGTAACCTGATCATGCATGAGCCACGGCAGGGCAACAAAAGCATCTCAGCGCTAAGCCCTGTGCTGTATGTTGGCAGGAAGCTGATCAGCCAGCAGTACAAGTCAAAATCAGCTACACCTAAACTCCAGAATAATGTCACTGGGAGGAGAGCGAGGTGTAGCTTCCATCTATCTCAGGAAACATTAGTGTAACAGTTTTTAATAGCAGAACACGCCATGTCTTTCCATCCTGAGGAAGATGGAGAAACTGCTCTTTCAGTGCCATGTGGCTTAGTAATGACACATGCTGTTTACTCATACCCACTATCTATAAACACTTATTTACAGAAACATAAGATGAGGTTGCATAACAGGGGGAAGAGGGGCCAAGATAAGGAGAGAGAGAGAGGGAGAGATGTGAGATGAGGAGGGAGGAAAATGCTCAGAATGTGAAGAAGTCAGCGACCTCTGTGAGAAGGAGAGGAATGTGTTAATTTACAGCGAGAGCTGGAGAGAAGAGGTAAACCGAGGTGGAAAGGGGAATAGAAGGAAGGGAGCGAAGGGGTAAAAGAGGAGGAGGACGAAGAGGGCGGCCCTGTGAGCATGGGAGCAGAGAGGGTAATGTGAGCCATGTGTTTACCATGTCCCAAAAAACATAAGAGTTCCTGGGATAATCCTATCCCAAACACATGCCGGGATCACGACCAAACAAGGTGATTCACTTGAATACTGTAGAATGAAGAGAGTTAACACGGAAAATTAAAAATCCAGGAGAATAATAGGCAACAAGTGAAAACAATGAAAGGTGATTACATACTGGGGTAAAGCTGGGGTAGGTGAGGTGACACAGGGCAGGAGGTAACCAAAATAAAAGCACTCAAACCCGGAAGTGGAGCTAAACCATAACACGCAGCACAGCTGCCATGCATGTTTCTCATCCAGCCCTTTGTTTACCCAAATCCCTTATACTACATATTCCCATCACCGGGACAAAGGACACCAGATTACTGTGAAGTAAACATTCCTTATAAAACATAAGTGTAAAAAATTCTACAAATTCACTTTTGTTACTTTAGACAACAAACGTCCCAACTGTGACACAAGTTTCAAGTCTGATTTTTTTTTTCTTTCCCTTCAGTTTTCAAAACCAGCAGCAGGCAGTCCCTGTCAGTAACAAGGTGTGTTGTAATCCTGATCAGCTGAGCCAGCAGCACAGTCTGTCTCAGCACAGGGAGTGTTTGTGTCATCGTAGAACCTCTAAAACAGCACTAACCTCAGCTTCCTCTTTCACAGAAGGACTTCTACTGGTAAATATTCAGGGTGTTTTTCACCTGAAGTGTCCTCCTTTCATGCACCCGTGGAGGCCAGCACCTGTTTGTTCACTCACACTGTGAAGACTTGACCTTCCTGGCTGATCCCCACCACTCAGGACTTGCTTTAAGGTTAGGGTAAGGTTATAGGTTAAAGGTTAGTGGATTTTGTTTCCAGGAAATGAATGTAGGTCACTGTAAAACAAATGTGTGTGTGTTTGCACAATTCTGATACCCCTGCAGCCCCTCCCTGACTCTCTCAGTGCTGACTTTTTCATAGGGGTCTGGCTGAATCCAGTTTATGCTGCCTCACAACACAACCTCCTCCGCTAACTCTCTCTCATTCTCCAGCTCCCTTCATCTCTCTTCCTTCATACTGTCTACACTTCTTTTCTTATATTTGGTTTATGCTCTTTTACATTTTATTAACATTCTCTGTTTCCTCTCAGTCCTCCATGCTTCCTCGTCCCTTTTCCCTTCTCCATCTTCCTTTTCTTTTCTGTTAAACCCCTTTGTCTTGTATCACCAGCTTGTCTAAAGAGACAATGTAAAGCTTTGATTTTGTATATCTGTAACACACTTGGGTATTCACACACCTTGTTCACTCCTTTTTGTCCAGATATCAGTGCTGGACAACAATCAGGCCCGGTTCTCCACGTCCCACAAAGGTTGCCTGTGTCACAATTATTCTGTGGTAATTTGATTTATTCTTAATTTGTTTAGTTACACCACTGCAACACAGTGAAAACAAAAAATGGCAAATGGTGGCTCCTGTGTATTCACTCCTGAGGCCTGTGGAGGGCCTCTGTGTCACTGCACAGCTTCCTACACCCTTCTGTTCTAACCCCATCTCTCCCATTGTCACTGTAAACTGTAGGCCTCAATACAAAAATGCCTTGCTAAGATTTTTTCAGAATGTAAGTGCATTTTGGTTAGTATATAGGCAGGAGCTGTGGGGGGACTGTGGGGGAGTGTTTGAAGTGTGTCTATGATTTATCTCTCTAGTGAAGGTGTAGAATCTAACACCTTTCTTCTCTGTGGACATTTCCCACGATGACACTTCCCCTAAGTCTCTACCTCTCTGCTGTCTGTGTGTTTTCATGTATCTGTCTACATTTATCTGTCTTTGTTTGACTCCAGAAACTCCCCGCAGTTTAAGACATACCTGCTGAAGTGTCATTAGGCAAAGCACATACTTAAGCCGGTAGCTTGCAGGAGCCAGTTGTTACCAGACATCCAGAAAACACTTCAGTGCAATAACTTATAAATACAATCATTGTACACAACTAAAAGCTCTTTTCTTAAGAACTTGTATATATGTAAGATTTTTGTTGTTGTCTCTTTGATTTTACATATTATTCTGTATTTATTCTATTTATTTTGATGCACACCCACTGAACTGGAGTGAAATTTCGTGTGTTTTAAAAAACTTGGCGATAATGATTTTGATTCTGATTCTGATGTGTGACTAGTTTTTTTTATTATTTTTGAACGACTGATTACTTGCTAGGGGCACTGATAAAAATTTGTGCCACTGATCCACTGATTTTTCTTGATGAACATGTAGTTTAGCAACAAAATATGACGTGGTGCAGAAATGAATTTCCTGCAATTTGACTAAAAACTCTATTTATCATTATTTATAAAATCTCATATTTGTATTTATAAAATTGGCATAATGCTCTGGACTTTGA